GGGTCGGATGATTACATACCAAATCTTATACATTTGGTACGTAGATGAGTTAGTGAATTTTTTTCTGTTCTTCATCCAGGAACGTGGGCCACGCGAATCGCATAAATCTTAACGTCTTCTCAAAATCTTTATTTTGTTTATTTTTTAGAAGACATTTCTCTTTACAATACTCAAAAAGAGCAAGTTTCTTGGTGCCTTCTTATCATAGAAACCTTTTTATAGTGATAAAATGGGGCCAGAAACTTATACCACACCATAATTAATATCATCTCTAGTCATTACAATGCCCAAAGGAAAGGTCTCAACTCTCTAATTTTTAAACTTTATAATATGTTTGAATTGAGGAAAATAGAGAAAAAGAGAGGAGAGAGAGAAAAAAAATTTTATTTAGTTAAAAAAATAATTGAAGGAAAGGAAGGAAAATTTTTTCTTTTGCTTTATTTTTTCTCATAATTTAGTTGTTTATCTAAATAAGGAGAAGTTAAGGGAATAAATTGATATAATTCTCCTCTCCTCTCTTTCCATCCCCTTCATCACCTTCAACTCAAATATAAGGTTAATCTTAGAGACTTAGACCCAAATGTTGTTATTAAGCCGGCTAATTTTTGTGATTACTAGTCTAATTAATTGGCATAGGATTCTCATTAATTATCTAATAGGGTTTAATGTTAATTAGGTTTTAACAAAACATTTTACCAAAATATGGGAATAGTTGTTCTGGGTATGGCCAATAAAACATAGTAGCTTCTGGGTGAAGAAACTCTCCGTGGAAAACATCTGTATCCCATCTTCTTTTACATGTCCAAATGCATGCTATTTTTTTAAAAAAATTTCTATCCCAGCTCAACCCTTTCTTCTGTCCAGCACTTCCAAATCAGCTTTATCCTATTAAGACAAAAAAAGGTTAAAAAAAAAAAAGAAGAAGAAGAGGTGGAGAGGAGGGAATCAAGGAATAAGAATTTTTTCCTTTTATGAAATGAAGAATGGTATTTTTTTTAAATGTTTTTTAAGCCTTGCACAAAGCTCCACTCTTCTTCGATAAAGAAGCAACACTGGTCCATCTTTTCCCTGTATCTAGTCTAGGGCATCATCTAGTGGCCCAAAAAGATTCTTACAAAACCAATAAAATTCACACATTTTTTTAATTAATAATTGATAATTTTTTTATAAATTTTAAAACAAATATCCCTTTAAACTATATTTAATTATAAAATAAAAATTATTAATACAAAAATAACTCTTAATATTAAAAAATTTATCTTTATTTAATAATTTAATTTTATAATTTAATACAATTTAAACCTCAAAACATCTTATAAAATTCTTACTTATGTCATACTCACAATTTTTTTTTTTTGGCATTATAAAATGACATCACTTATGAGGCATGAATAAACGAATTTCCTCATGACTCTAAGGACTTCGGATGCCTTCCATGACATGATAAGTTTGACTAAATTTTTGTATTTCATGGAAGGCTTGTTTATACACTGTTTGAATAGATATAATTACTCAAGTATTGATAACCTAGTTTGAACAAGATTTACTTTCTATCTTATCCGAATTTTTGAAGAAATTAATGACAATAATTTTTTAGTCTTTGTGTAGATAACTTGTTTTTTTTATCAAACATGAGAGATGGACTTATATCAATTTTCGCAAAATCTAGCTCATCGTATTATCTAGAAAAAAAAAAAAGATATATGTTTTAAAATAACTATTTTTTTACTTTTTAATTAAAGATTTAGAAATGCCAACGATCTAAGTAACTTAGTGATCATTTCTTTTCATTGGAAATAAGAGATCCTGAGTTCGAATTGTATGGTATGTTAGTGGAATATAATAAGAGATGGAAGATGATTACTTCTCATTATGTAACCAAGATTAAAAAAAAAAAATTTAGAAATGATTCATATATTTACCTATAAAAAATTAAAAGATAAAAAATTTTTTTATGATAAGATAATTAATTAAAATAATAAGATAATAATAAAATTAAATTAAGAAAAAATTTAGAAATGATTCATATATTTACCTATAAAAAATTAAAAGATAAAGAAATTTTTTATGATAAGATAATTAATTAAAATAATAAGATAATAATAAAATTAAATTAAGAAAAAAATTATAATTAATTTAAGATAAATTTAAAATAAAAAAAAATAATTATTCTAAAATAGAAGGAGTGTAAACTAAGGGTAATATACCTTATTGTTAGTAATTGTTTACTTTTGGATGCTGGATTGTAAATACTAACATGATGTAATGGATTAAGATATCTGTTATATTTTTTTAATAAAAATTGATGAGATAATGGGTTAAAATATTTCTGATACTTTCTTAATAAAAAAAAAAAAAGTTTGCCAATAAAAAAAAGAGGGTCATATGCCCTTTTTTTTTTATGAACATCGGTAACCTTTTTGGGAGAGGTATTTTGCAAGCAGTAATAGGTGGGAGTTGAACTCCCAACCTAGTGGCCTCCAAGTTTTATAGAGCGGTGGGGTTGAATCTTGAATCAGCTGATCTCTAATTAAAGGGCTCACCATATGTGCACTTTTATTAATTAGAGGGCAGGTTTGGCTAAGGTTAAGGTCATCATTTCTTTTGCTAAACTTATTAATTTTATTTGTAATTTATTAATTTGTAGTTATTTTTTAAATAATTTGTTATAATATTTAAAAATATTTATTTAGAATCTGATTTCAATTTGTTAAATTAATAAATATTAATTATTTTATTGATCATTAATTTTTTTAACAGATAAATTAGGATATAATTAAATATTTTGGTTACCATGACAAAATACCATTCGCCAGAGGTTTCTTGCTGCTGTATTTGTTGCTTGAAGTTTCTACTTTGCTTTATCGTACTCTTAGAAATTTGAAGGTTCCAAGAGAAAAGACTGGACGCCATGGAATGCCAATCACTGCATTTCCTCACCTGCCCCGGCCCTTCTGGAAGAATTTATTTAAAATTATATTAGTGTTTTCGTTTACGCTTCTTCGCTATCAATTTTCCAGGGTAGGGACGGCTAAATTCATGTTTGAAATCGGCTAGAAAAATGACCATCTAGTCAACTTCATGTGAACCCCGTTACTTTAGGTCTAAATCACTTTATAATTAGAGAAGAGTGTGAGGTACGTTAATTTTTTTAAATTTTTTTAGAGAATTTATTTAAAAATGAACTTTTTAATTAATATTTTTAAAAATTAATAATTTAATTAAAAATTTTATAAATGTCAATTATACATATCAATTTTCATCAAATTAATTGTATAATAAATGACAACTCTTTTACATGTCATAAATCATAATCCATTCTATTTATATATTATGTAATTCGAACTCAAGATATCTTATTTTCACTAAAAGAATATGAAAAGTACTATAATTATAATACCTTATAACAATGTAAATTTATTATATAATGTGTCGTTATATAATTTATGCTTTACATTTAAAGATTTAATTATAATATTATATACATTCACTCATTTAATATCACATTATATTTATTTGATCTCACGTCATAATTCTAAATTTATAATTTTATGTGGATTTATAATTAAAATATTATCAAAAATAGATTACTATTAATTTATATATGATCATTGGTGATGATATAATTTATTAAGATTTTAAATTAATTATATGTAATTTGTTAAGGTACAAGGTAGTTAAAGAAAATATTTTAAAGGCACAAGCGGTCCATGCCCAAGGTATAAATTTTTTTATGGTGCTGTCCCACGGTATCAAATTGTTTAATCTTCTAGGGCACATATGAATTGTTGAGAAATTGAATATTTGTTTAATTGGATCAATAATTGTTTGCTTATTTTAAAACATTAATGGTGGAAGTCAATAGACGGTTAGGAGATTATTTTGATATGATTATTTGCGAATTATTTGATTTAATAATCGGTTGCGTTGGACTGATGATTTGTTTTTACAATTATAGATGCCAAGGGCAGTAATCAAAATGTAACATTGTTATACCGTAAAGGGGTACGTGGTACTAGGTGTAAAAGGGTATGTTCCTCTCACTGTTGATAAATGTTTAATTTCTCTTCTTCTTTTTTTTTTTAATCAACCGTGTTCAATTTTTTATGGAGCTAATGAAAGGATAATCGTTAATGAATTTGCTAGTCTAACATGATAACTTATCTTTGACTGGCATAAAAAATTTAACCTAGTATATCCATTAAAAAGTTATAATATAAAAAAAATGTTGTAATTATGGTAAAGACAAGATGGTATATGCATAACCATCTCCGTCAATGTACTAAACAAACACAACAATTATAAGTTAAGTAATTTGGTGATAAAATTACATGTTTTCTTAATAATCACAAACTTAAGATCCAATTTCTTATCTCTACAAACAAAGACAAAAAATAAGCAAAGCTAACTTCCTAAAGTTTGAAGGTTACCCATTAATGCAAGTAAATGTTCATGTTCTATCTTAAAATATATAATTACATTTTTGAATTGTGGTTTTTGAGTACTGTAATTCGAAAAAGTAAAGTGCAGCCAATTATCATTGATGAGGAAGTGAGCCTTGGATATTGAGAGTTCATTCTTTTATTAATAATTAAAAATAATATACTTTACATACGATAGACTATATTGCAATATTTTCATTATTATTACATGAAATCTCATACAAATAAATTACGATATGTTCATCTGATCTTACTTCTGCCATAGCTTCTCTAATGCCTAAGATGAAGCTTCGAAGCCTTGAAGGCAAGCCAAAGATTTTTATTAAATATACTTCTATTGTATATATATAACTGTAAATTAATCTTATAACTTTTGGAATAAAACCTTACAATAAACCTTCTAGTTCAATGTAATTTATTCACTCAGACCATTTTATATAACAATTCCATGACAACACTTCCTTCTCGCATGGTAAAAAAGTTTTACTCAATCAAATAAAAAAATGTTGTTCAATTAAAATTATATTAAACTATACAACATAAATTATTATTTTTTATAAGAAATGGAGAAATATATTAAGTAATAAGAAAGTATAATAAAATCTCCATCACAGGGCATATAGCCTAAAGCATGATAGCCTAAAAACAGAATCAGAAGCATAACTTACAGTCTAGTACAGATTTAAACTATGCCCATGACGAATATAGATAATTAAATAAAGAGAGACATCTGTAACTAGAGATTGCAATTGCAATTGCTGTATGGGCTAAATAGGGCTACTAATGTAGAAAGGAGAGCTACTATGAGCATCAGAAGCTACTGAACGTCCTCACCTAGTTAACTAGCTTCATGGGGAGAGTAGAGGATTTTGGCAACAAACAGTCCCCAAACTATGGGTTGCCATCCAATCTATTCTTAAAAAATAATTGACAAGAGAAGGACCATAGTCCTCCTCTGTGCAATCACAAGGTACCCCATCCATCTGCAAGTGCTCCCAAACATGTTCCCATCTTTTCCAATCCTCTTCAAGCCCTTGCTACCATAAGTTATTAAGGGAACTAGACCCCCTTTGCTAACTTGAATACCATAGTTCCCTTGCAGAACACCATCAGCTTCCCCCACAACATGTAAATTTGACCTTCCACACCAAAAGCCACCTATGGCCCCCCACGCATAGCCCAACCAAAATATGAGATTGCCCCTCTCCTTTTCTAATTTGCTCAAGATATCAGTGATGTCACCTAAACGCATCCAGGGCAAAGGAGAAATTGTCTTGGGTGATTTGAGAATGGTCCATGACTCCTCCCTGCAAGCAGTCTCTGGTTGGCCCAAAAACCTTGTTAATTGCCATTGACAACCACCTGGATCTACTATTTCAACATCTATGTGATATGGTGAGAAAAAGGAAACTTGAAGGTTAAACGCATCATTCCATAATAGAGTCAAGCCACCCCCTCTCTCTGCACAATCGCTTTCAGAATAGTGAGCCAACCCTAAATCTATTTGGAACAAATTCATCTCCATCCCTGTTTGCTTTGTTGTAGGGAGCAAGACAAAATTAGGTTTTTTTTGGAGGCACAATTGGTTTGGCTCAAAGATCATGTAAGCCTCTCCAAGATTGTGATAATTCCAGGCCAACATACACGATTGAGCCATGGAAGGAAAAGAAAGAAAAACAAGGGGAGAAGCCCTTCAAAACTGGAAGTAGCGCTTAGGCAAGGAGCTCGCCCATCGAGAGGAAACCCTAACGGCGGCAAGAGCTAAAAATTAATCTTTTTATACAACATAAATTATTGAATAAGAATGAATCTCTTAATATTAAAAAATATCTTCCTTATCTAATAATTCTTATTATTTAGTAGTTCTTATTATGCAATTCAAACCATAAAATAAAAATTTTATATAAAACTCCAACAAGCAAATGCAGCATCAGCCACACTGATTAAGTGCCCTTAGGCCATATAAGTGTCAGGTTCAATCTATTGCAGTTGCAACTATCTTTCTAGTTATCCTTCCTTTTTCCCCTAAATTCTACATGTACCAAATGAAAAAAAAAGGGGGGGGGGGGATGGGGGATGATACATTTACCTCAAAACCCACACAAACTACATTACACACTAGTGGTTTGAAGATTAAAATACATTAATAAGCTAGTATTTGCTTATTCAAAGCTTGTCTTGCACAAGACAATGACTGGCTTACACACTAGTCCTCCTTCCTTTTGGCATTCTTGATTCAACCCAATTGCTACTAGGGAAACATTTGTGTTGCCTAACAACCTAATTTGTGAATCACCCATGCTAGATTTTTGGCAGAATTTAGTTCTTTCTCTCTTGTATTGCTCTCTTTCCTCCATCTCCATTCTTTGTCACCATTGGTCCCACCTCTGTAATGGTAGTCAATGGTAGTCTGAGCTAAGTGACCTCGGACACTTCTATGGTTTGCATGTGTCCTCTAGCAACTAAGCTATGATTAAGGTTAAGCTCGTCCCTTTTACATTGAAGCTACAGTAAGTCTATACGTACTTAATCTTCATCTAAGAGATTTCTACGATGGTTGACACATATGACCCCGATTGTTTGTAAAGAACAACATGTGGACACCTCTTTGAAGGCTATAAATACCCTTTAAGGTCCCTTCCCAAAGGTAATTGAAACCGATCTCAAGTTTTGTTCTTGTTCCCTTCCCATCCGACTCAATTATAGTTGACCTAAGCATTGAAGTATCTACCCTTAGGACCAACCTCAGGGCTTTGTAAGTTAGGAGTAGTGTAATGGTAGTCAATGGTAGTTTGAGCTAAGTGACCTTGGACAGTTCTATAGTTTGCATGTGTCCTCTAGCAGTTGAGCTACGATCAAGGTTGAGCTCGTCCCCTTTTCATTGAAGCTATAGTAGGTCTATACGTGCTTAATCTTCATGTGAGAGATTTTTGCGATGGTTGATACATATGACCCCAGTTGTCTGCAAAGAACAACACATGGACACCCCTTTGAAGGCTATAAATACCCCTCAAGGATTCCTTCCAAAGGTAATTGAAACCAATCTCAAGTTTTTTTCTTGTTCCCTTCCTAGTGAGCTCAATTATTGTTGACTTAAGTATCAGAGTGTTTATCTTGAGGACCAATCTCGAGGCTTTGCAGGTTAGCTCAAGGAGGAAACTTGGACAAAAGGAAGCTTAGCAATTTGTTGCAGTTACAACCTCATTGTTTCATGTTCCTCCTTCACTGCTGTGTTTGCCTTCTTAACAACCAACTCTAGCATCTTTTTCTTCAAAATCTCATATCTATCAGGGTTTTGTTTCTGACTTTCAAGACAAACCCAGATGTCAAGGTTCCATAACAAACCCAAATCTCTAGGTTCTTACGAATCTAAATTTTTTAATTCACAGGAACCTTCTAGATTCCACAAACCAATATATTTTCTTGATTTTTCTTTATTTTTTTTCACTCAAAAGGAAGGAGGCTAACTCTGGCATCTTTCCCTTCAAAATCCCAAATCCATATGGGTTTAGTTTTTGGGTGTCAAGGAACCAACTGTTAGGGTTCCACAACAAACCCATATCCCTAAGTTCCTACATACCGAAATATTTGAGTTCACAAGAACCTTCCTAGATTTCACAAACAAATATCTTTTTCCAATTTTTCTTTATTATTATTTTTTCACTCAAATTTAGTTAGTTCTTTGTTGTGGTGGTTCATAAACTTCAATCTGTTTGAATTTTGGGTTTGAATGGAGGACGATTTAGTGGTTTTGGAGAATTGATTGAATGGAGAATGATTTTAGTGTGGATGATAAAAGTGCAATCAATTTGTTGGAAACATAAATAAATATGGATAGCAATGGGTTTAAGCTTTTTTGTATCTCATTTCAAACGGTGAGATATTGATTTTTTAAATGGTGTGTAATAGAAGGTGATGGACGGTACCAGTATGTAGCCAATCAGCGTAAAAAAAAAAAAATCAAAAATAGAAATGTAAAATTGAGATATCCAAGTTCTCTAATTTAAAACTCTGTGTAAAATTAACAAATGTGATCAAGTTATTAAATAATTTGGTAGGTAAGATTCTTCTGCTAAGTTTGAAGTCTAACAAAAATATATTTGAGATCAATCATGTCTTCTCTAGGAAAGGAGTAATAAAAAGAAAAGGAAAAAGACTACTCATTAGTCATTATGTGCCTAATCATTTCAAAATAAGATGGTATCAATTGTACTGCTATCACTTTTCAGTTTTCCCTCCTTTCTTTCCCTTCTGTTCTATCATTTATATAGTCATTTATAGGTAATTTTGATCCCGAGCCAAATCCTTCACATTCCAAATTTCCAATATCTTTGCGTGATTATTGTAGGGAGAGTCATTTTTCAGTTTTGACTAAAATAAATTCTAGTTCAAATATAAAAAAATTAAAATGCCTTTAATAATGCGTAAAATTAGATTAAATGTCATGTTTAGTTTTCAAATTTTAAATTTTTAATATTTTTAATTTTTAATTATTTATGCACTTTTTTCCACCTTCAAATTATTTTAAAAAATATATATTTTATCAATTAGTCTATTAACTCTATCAACATATGTATATTTTAAATTTTTAAAAATATATATTATAAGTTTAAAGACTAAATATATATATATATAAAGACAAATTTAACGGATTAAATTTATGGATAAATAAAAAAAATACATTTTTTATAGTTTAAAAATAAAAAATAATTTTATTGGACTTAACTATTTGACTGTTGGTATTTAAATATTTTATGTTTTGAAGTGACATTTATTTTAGTTAACCTGAATTGAAAAGACCCCTCCTATATTGTTAGTTGTTAATAAACCAACTCTAGCAATAGTATAACAAAATGGTCATGAAAGGTTAATTCTACATAAATATTTTTAGTCTCAGAGAGGAGGAAATGAAATATTTTTTATTGTACCGACAAGATAGACTTAATGCAATACGTGCAGACCGACCTTATTAAATTACCTGTCAAGAAGAAGAAAAAAAAAACTCTCATGACCTAGCAATTGAAGCAAGCTAGCATTGGTGACCTACTAGAAAAAAGTCCATTTGTGATTCTTACATGATTTCCCTTAAAAAAGATTTGATTACTATAAGTTGGCCGTTTATCCATTATGTTAAGATATCATATTATACAAATTGTAGGTCGACCTTTTAAGTGGCAGACAAAATCTCCATTTGGTGAAGTAGAAAAAACCCTCATTCTTGTTTTAACAAAAGAATAAAGAGCTTGTACCACATTTTTATATTTAGTTATGTATAAAAGTAGATGCACCAACTTTTGTGCCAAAACCCACTATAAATTAAGGCCGCATGTCCTAAAAAGTAAGAACTAAGGTTGTATTGAGTACATTTACTGGTAGGAAGAAACAACTCAGCTCCCAATTTGGGCAATGAATTGTGGAAAATGTTCTTGGGGTAGATGGAGAAACAATTGGACCATTTACCAGAAAAATTCATCTTAAAAGTATGACAGTTGCTCTGGAGATTTAATATGAACATAAATGAGAAGATGATGTTTAGTTTTCAACCATGTTAGGTTGGGACAAAAGTCTCTTCTACAAATTCAACAACCAATTGAAGTTATGGTTGAAAAAACACACACAATACATCTAATAAACGGATTATATAATAAGAGATGGTTCCCATTCTCAAACTCCTCTCCAACTCAACCTTTAATCTTCATAATTTCTTAACTTTTAAAACATCTCCTAAAGGATGTAAAAACTTATAATTAAAGAATTATATATTTTCAATAAGTGCAGATCATCATAAATCATGAATTTACTTAAACAAAATTTTAAGTTAAACTGTGAAGATAATTTTTTTAAAATAATTTTAGTACATGAAATTTAATCAACGCACGTTACCATTGATGGAAGGAGTCAACTCCTTAGTATTGAGGGTTTACCCTTCTATCAATACATCAATAGTTAATTATGTTACAGTTTGAAGATAGATTGCAAAATAATATTTTAAAATTTTAATTATGGTATTGATGACGATTTACTAATTTTTTTTCTTCAAAATGACATCTTCTCATATTTTTTTGGACAATAGTTGAGTGAATACTTAATCTAATTATGTTTTTCAATAAAGTGCTTTAGTTTTACAAAGAAAAATGAAAAATAGAAGACAAACAAAGAGCCATTCAAAACCCAACAAAAGCTAGTCAAAGCTGAGACACAGAAAGACAATGGAAGCCGAGTCTGGACAAAACTCGTGTAGAACACATGTACACACATAGGATTACAGCACCACACAATTCTACATAATCAAATTTAATCCATCTCTCTGGTTGTTTTTGGGATCAAAAAAGACAGGCTGGAAGGATCCAAACCCTAACCCCACTTCCATTATTTCTTTTTTGAGGATTTCCACAAATTATTTCAGAGAAGACAATCCTCTATCTAACAAACCCCAATCTGATATTTCGTCACACAAAACCCATTAGCGAAAAAGCTTACAAAAGGCAGAAATAAAAAAAGAAGACTTGGTTCCCTTTCTTTTCTTGCAGCTCCTGCTAAGCATCTTTACCTTATTACTTTCCTTTTCTTGGTGGAGTAAATTTTCAATCTTGGGTTTCTTGTTCTTCATTCTTCCCTTGCATCACCTAAATTCTGCTTCTTGTTTATTGGGTCTTTATTTTTTCCATCTGGCATTGTTTTTGCATGATCAGGAAAGTTCAAAGTTGAATTGCTTTCCTCATCAGGTTTATCAGATTGATTATTCTCCTTGGATACTTGGTTTCTTGGAATTTGGGTTTCTGTGAAATTTTAAAAGCTGATCCTTTCTGGGTTTTGTTGATCAAACTGTGAAACTCAGGAAAAGGGTAGCAAGTAAATTCTGTTACTTGAATTGGTTTTCTTTCTTTTCCCTCCATATGGTTTAAATTCCTGAACTTTTTAGTTGTTTTAATTGGTTTTTTTTCCACTTTTTGGGTTTTCCTGAGAATTCTTGAAGCCTCTTTTTTTGGGATTCTGGTTCCATGGGACTCTGTCATGGAAAACCCATTGAGCTTCAACAGAACCAAGCTAGAGACCTCTCTGTTCCAAATGAAAATGATCCAACTCCAAATACACGCACCACCAAATCCTCCTCAACTTTCCCCTTTTACAGTCCCAGCCCACTGCCGAGCCTGTTCAAGACCTCGCCTGCTATACCAAGCGTGAATTCTACTCCTTTGCGGATCTTCAAGCGGCCATTTCCACCTCCTTCTCCGGCTAAGCATATCCGGGCACTGCTTGCACGGAGGCATGGTTCCATTAAGCCCAATGAGGCCTCAATTCCCGAGGGAAGTGAGTGTGAGGTTGGTTTGGATAAGAATTTCGGGTTCTCAAAGCATTTTGCTTCTCATTATGAGCTTGGTGAGGAGGTCGGACGCGGCCATTTTGGGTATACTTGCTCGGCCAAGGGCAAGAAAGGGAGCCTGAAGGGTCAGGATGTAGCTGTCAAAGTCATTCCAAAATCAAAGGTCTAATTTTCACTAATGAAACTTCTCATGATCTGTCAATTCTGTATCGGTGTGCCTTATTAGATGCATTATTGCTGATGGATCAGAGATGCATATTTGCTGAATATAGTCTATTGAGTTATACAGTTTTCAATCTTTCAGCTATATCTTAATCTGTATATTGTTGCTTTAGAACTAGTATCTTCTCAAACGTGGTTCTTTAGCGTCTTTAGGGTATTATTTTCTTGTCCAATTTTTGGAATTTGGATTTTGATCTGTCCGGCATACTGCTTGCTCTTGGAATTAGAGAGATACTAGGACAGCCTTTAAGAATGTTATTCTGAAGTGATAATTGTCAATTTCCATAAGTTATATGATTCAGAAGAAGTTTTGTGACACCATCTTTGAATGGGATACCATGTTGGAGTTGTTGTAGATTCTACTTTATCTAAGGTGATTGAAGAACTAGAGTATTTATAATTGTCAATTTTTGTTAAAGTAGTCAAATATGGATGTCATACTCTTTGCTTGTGTTGTATATTTAAATATGAACAGCTTGTTGAGGTTGGATAATAATAGTATGATCATATCATCTCTTTCTTACTGGAGAACAATCCTTGAAGGACCTTTTTTCTTCTCCAGATTATTGGTCCTGATGGCAATAATCATGAACTTATAATTGCTAGTGTTACTCACTTGGATAATTTATGGCAGAACCCCGTAAAATTGTTTGTTTTATTCTGATCTATAATGTTTCTTATTCGCAGATGACTACAGCAATTGCCATAGAGGATGTAAGACGAGAGGTGAAGATATTAAGGGCTTTAACAGGTCATAAGAGCTTAGCGGAGTTCTATGATGCCTATGAAGATGATGAGAATGTTTATGTTGTAATGGAGTAAGTTTAAGCCTACTGAACTTAATTTCTTAACACAATGGATTAGTTTTTCTTAAGATAGCTCTTATTTTCTTGAAATCTATTCATTTACTTTCATTAATGCCAAAGTCTTGGCAAGTATCAAATTTGCATTGATGCAAGCATTTTATGAAAAAATTAATGTATTTTGGCATCTGATGTGAATCTGTCAAACTATCTTGCTAGTTTCTTTCCTTTCCTTTCTCCATTCTTCTTCTCTCTCTCAATTTTCCAGTGATATGAGAGAACCCGTTCAGCTGTTTAACACTTGGATTTTATTTTATTTTGTGTTGATGTGATTTAACATTGTAAATTAGTTTTGAAATTGTAGCTATTGTTTTGATCTTCTGGAACTTATCCTTTAAATGATTTGCAGGTTGTGCCAAGGTGGTGAACTGTTAGATAGAATACTTTCCAGGTACTTGCTGTGTACCTTCTCTTCATGGTAAATAATTGGCCTTATTTAGACCCTAAACAACTGTTAAAATTTTATTTGTGTTCTGCAGGGGTGGGAAATACTCAGAAGAAGATGCTAAGGCTGTTATGGTTCAGATTCTAAGCGTGGTAGCCTTTTGTCATTTACAAGGTGTAGTTCACCGTGATCTCAAGCCAGAGGTAATTGACTTATAAGCATATACATGATGGCAGTTTTCTTGTATCCAGAATATTGAGCCTCATAATGAATAATCTTCATATTTTTCTCTTGTTTCTACTATCTCTGGAATTTAGTTGTACTAATAAATGACATTAAATCTAATTTAAGGTTAGATAAAACTACATCCAAGGTTGCTAAGCAATAAGCATTATTATTGAAATGGCTTCATCTCTTTCACGTTTTAACTTTTAAGGTTACTCGTCATACTGCAACAACCATAAATGCCAAATCTTTCATGCAAGGAAGGAACCCAATTTGCTATCTATGGGAATTCTTTTGCACTCATAAAATGTAAAGCTGCAATTCATTTTCCTTGGATAGACGATTTGTCATATTTGAAACCCTAATTAGAAAGAATCTGCCTGCAAGTCTGTTGGAATCTCTCTCATCTGCTTTTCTGGACTGGCAATAAGACCACTAACTTAAGAAGTGCTTTATAAATTTTAATTTAAATTAGATGGATTTTTATGATTCTAGAATTATCATTCTCATTTCTGGTGGCATATTCTCATTTTTATTTGTTGAGGTATGGAACACCAAGTAGTAGTAGAATACAATTGGTATATTCTGCATTTCAATTCTCATATGTGAAATATATTGCAGAATTTTCTTTTTTCTACAAAAGATGAGAATTCCCCATTGAAGGCCATTGATTTTGGACTCTCTGACTACGTAAAGCCTGGTTAGATTTACTGCCCAAGGTCCCCTTGCCTGATTTATTTTATAAAAAAGGTTTATCAGAATTTGATTTTTTTGTATGCTTTGGCAGATGAAAGGTTGAATGATATTGTAGGAAGTGCATATTATGTTGCGCCTGAAGTTCTACATAGATCATATGGGACTGAAGCTGACATGTGGAGTATTGGAGTAATTGCTTACATACTTCTTTGTGGAAGCCGACCATTTTGGGCTCGGACTGAATCAGGCATCTTCCGTTCTGTCCTTAAAGCAGATCCAAGCTTTGATGAAGCACCTTGGCCATCTTTATCACCTGAAGCTATAGATTTTGTAAAGAGATTGTTAAACAAGGATTATCGCAAGAGACTGACTGCTGCTCAGGCTTTGAGTAAGTCATCTAAACTATTTAATCAACCAGTACTGGCGCCATTAGTGATGAAACAATCCAACAATAAATGAACCAAGAAAGAAGCACCCCGACCATCTTTATGTCTTTATTTGTTTTGTTTTATTTTTTTGTTTAATTTTTTTGTGATTAGGTCATCCATGGTTGGCCAATTATCATGACATACGGATACCACAAGATATGATCATATACAGGCTTGTAAAAGCTTATATATTCTCATCTTCTCTACGGAAATCAGCCTTGGGGGTAAGCATGATTATGTTATGGCTAGCTGCTTCAAATTATTCAGAACCTTTTCTTTGCTTTTGAGATCTATCTACTGATGAAAACAAAGGCAGAATAACATTATACCAACTAGAAATTTGTCTGTGTGCATAAAATTTAAGAGGTCTTTAGGGAGGTTAACTGTTGAGACCTTGAATATATATTGGACACTGATCTTAAACTGTATTAATTTTTAATGTTTGGCTATCTACTGGTGGGCTTTAGCAGCAGTTAATGTGTCTGTAGCTTCCTATGGTGGCAGGGTCTTGCGAAGACATTAACTGTGTCTCAGCTGGCTTATCTTCGGGAACAATTTATGTTGCTTGGGCCAAACAAAAATGGTTTCATTTCCATGCAGAATTATAAGACGGTACAGCTCCTTTATTTACCTAGTATTCTGCATTTTGTTATATTTTCATTCCTTTTTCACATCATATTAAGTAGCTTGACCTTAGCAGGCAGTGACAAAGATCTCTACTGATGCTATGAAGGATTCACGGGTCCTAGATTATGTAGACATGGTAAAGCTTATGTTTTTTCATCTGTAATGAATTTCCTTCAAATGCAAGTAAAATAGTACTTCTAGTGACTAATTGTGCCTCTCATATACTACAGATTGGTTCCCTTCAATATAGAAAATTGGATTTTGAAGAATTTTGTGCTGCTGCCATAAGTGTCCATCAACTGGAAGGAATGGATACATGGGAGCAACATGCTAGACGTGCATATGAGTTGTTTGAGAAGGATGGAAATAGACCCATTATGATTGAAGAACTTGCCTCGGTAATCGTCCTCTTATCTAAGTGTGTTTGTCTGCATGCTGCATGTGGGTGTTCTTTGTAGGTTGCCTCAGAAAGCATTTTCTTTTACAAGTTCCTGGTTTTACTTCACAGAGATAATGCAGTGTGATTTGGATTTTCCATTTATTGAGCATTTCATTGGCAACTTCTTTGTTTACTCCTTAGAGATTGCAGGACTAACACTGGTTTAATTTGTTTTCTTCAGGAACTAGGACTTAGCCCATCTGTTCCAGTTCATGTGGTTCTCCAGGACTGGATTAGACATGCAGATGGAAAGCTCAGTTTCCTCGGGTTTGTTCGACTTCTACATGGGGTTTCATCTCGCACATTTCAAAAGGCTCAATTTGGATCCCAACAATAAGTTTTATCCCTTGCGACCTATCTCGCAAAAGGAGACGAGATGTATCTGGTCAAGTATTTGATACGTCTTACTCATGCTTCTGGCCAAGCCTTTCATGCATCTTAATCAGGAAATGGGGTTGCCAAAAGTTGAAGCTAAATCCAGTACATGCCAGGCTGATGAAGCAATGCCAATTTGCACAAGTTCCAGTTGTTTCATTTCTTCTCGTGCTTTTTATCTCAGCTTTTCTGGGTCCATTTTAAGTTTTAAAGATTACTAGAGGACTGTACAGATTAGAGTGGATCTCAAAATTTATCTAGCGTTAAGTAAACAGTTTGTGAAGTTGCTTTCATGGCTTCTGGTTCTTCGTCTCTATAATCACATTGTATAATTGCTGTCAAGGGACTGGCAGGATTCACTCCAGATCTCGTTTCAATCCTCATGAAATTGAGTCAGTATTTTAGTACTTAGTTTTCTAGGGATCTAAGCCAAATAAAAGGACGGTTGTATTTGTGATAACAAAGCAATGAACCAGTGACGGCTTATTGTATTTGGATTAACAGATTTAAGGATGGTAGATAGTTAACATTTAATGGTTGATAATTATTATTGTTTATAACTCGAAACATTTTTATTCACCTAATCATCCCAAACTCCAAACCGTCAACTGCATCCTAAACGCCCCTTTCAAGTTCCAACTAGTAAGCAACATTTATACAATGGTAATCAAACTAGTAGGACTATTGTTTGCTTGCATGTCGAAATTTCATTAGCTCATTAGACCATCTGAGATATATAACCGTGATTCAGATAAATCATCATTTGGAGGTTTAAGTTTTAACAAATATAAACTCAATTAAAGGCATCATGTTCAAGACACAGGATTCTAAAATTCAAGAAACATTGTAGAATTTTAGAAGGAAAATTCATAAAGAAGGGTCATCCTCTTGGGATGGATAATTGAAGCAGTTTATCCCAACCAGAGATTAAGCACAAGAATTCCCCATACTATGCCCTCCAAGAAAGTTGTTTCATATAGAGTTTATCATTAAAACCATGTCCTTTTGACGAAACTTAACATTTATGAAAAACTTGACATTTTTATCTATCAGCACACGTCTCACCAGCGTGAATGACGAAATAATGAAGACACTTCCTCTTACTGATAGAACTCAAAAATTCTGGCATCAATGTAAACTTTGGATGATGGTCATCGCTTTCTTTCTGCTCGCCACTTGTACACTGGCTTGGATGTTGGTGAGTTGATTTCATCTTCACGGAGTTTGCGCTTCCGACCATTTTTCTGTGCATCAAATGGAATCTCGTGCATTTATAAACTAAAATGCATTATCCAACCACCTTAGAGAAACCAAGAAAGAATTCTAATTTTCAATACCTGTAACTCCTTTTTCAAGGCCATCTCCATATAAAGTTTCTCCAATTCACTTACTCGACTCTTTCTGGCCTCCAACTCCCTATAGGAAGCAGCTGTCTTCCTATACATAAAGAAAAAGAACTTAAGACTTATATCACATAAACTACATAGAAGTGCAAATACATAACGAGAAACTAAAGATAGCAGTAATAAGATTTTGCATAGATTACAAATGAATCATACTTTTTCCTAGAAGAGGAGTTCCAACTTTGAACTACCTTATTAAATCTTACAATTGGAAGCCCATTTCGTTCATCAGGAAAGGACATATGATAGTCCATGTTGTGCATGCATATTTCATGGTACTCTTGGAAAAGTGCACAATTGAACACTTATTCCCCTTTTCATTCATGGAAAATGCCATCAATTTGTCATAATCAGTTTACATGTATCGCAGGATTATGCTCATCCTATCTACTAGTCATTTTATTTACAAATCTCTGTGATGCGGCAGCTAAAGAAGCCAATCTACTATTTTTGCTTTGCTCAAAAGACATGAGGTCGTCTTCATTCATTTAAAAGAAAGATGATAGGTTTTCCAATGTTGCCATCTTACTATATGGTTAGAGCTACAAGATTGCATTCGAAATAAACAATCGAGCCCCAGAAAGCAAATAGAGTTGTAAAAACAAAATGTGAACGTTATCAATTAGCTTGCCTTTTAATATTATCAGGGAGATCCTCAAACGAATGA